ACCACTCTAATGTCCAAGGGCATAACATTGAAGATTGTCGTGCTTTGAAAAGGGAGATAGAAAGAACGATTCAAGAAGGGATAATTGTGGTCTAGGACAGTGACACCCAGAACATCACGCAGATTCCTGTACCTGCACATGATGATGCACACTTCATGGGGAAGATGCGTGGTGACGGGGAGTATGAGAATCCTCTTGGGAACTTGCTGACTGAAGTTAATGATATTGAAATTGGTGAAGGTCCCAGTAATTTTGATGTGCAACCTAGTGTCTAAGATATCGAGCTTGGTAATTGGAAAGACACTCCTTTCTTGGCCAACCAGGGAGGAGTTTTGGTGGTTTATTTTGTTGTCATTTCTGTTTGTCCGGGTTATTTCAGGGTTGTAATCCGGATATTGTCTTGTGGCTCAACTCTTCTTCTTCTCATTTTGTCTAGTTCATTTAGTTGTAGTAACTCGTCTAGTGTTATTTAGGATTGTTCCAGGGTTGTAACCCATGTCTATTTTGCTTGTCTTGTTCAAACCCTTTTCATCATCTGTCTAATACTATCTCTTATTTTCTGTTAGTTCTAGTCAATTTTTGTTTAGGTCATTTTTCCTTTTATAGTTCTTCTCATGCCAACTCTAGTGACATGCCATGCACGCATATTTCTCAGCCTGATCTTGAAAGTTAGTCTAATCATGAAGCAATGACACAGTTTTTTGAATATGATAAAAGGATGCATTTGAGGAAACAATTAAAGATTCACGCATTCTGAGACGACCTAAATTTTGAATTGAGTGAAACTGAGGCAGTAAGTCTGGGAAATCAAGAGGTTGATAAGAGCATACAACAAGAAAATGTCTCTCAAGCAGTTTGAGGTAAATCAATTAGTGCTGAAATGCATTCTTCCACATCAAGATAAAGTTTAGTCAAGTATGCTTCGAACTGGCCAGGGTCATTCATTGAGACAAAGGTATTACCCATTGGCACTCTTTGTTTGTATTGATGCCATCAATAGTTATTATGTGTGATTTGTTTTCTTATCTTCAATTGCATGTTTGTACTTGGAATTTTTGAGCTTGGTATGACGAAGGCATTTTATTCTGCTACCCAAACACTTTTATCCTTTGCTACCCATTTTGAGCCCTAAGTTTTTATTTCATACCCCTCTTTTGGAATCAGAAATAGAGTAGGAACTAGAAAAGGAAAAGAAAAGAAAAAAAGAAAAAAAAGGAAAAAAAAAAGGAAAAAAAAAAGGAAAAAAAGGACAGGAAAAAAAAGGAAAAGAGAAAAAGAAAAAAAAAGAAAAGAATGAAAAAGAAAAGAAAAATTTCTTTTGAACTACGTTCGACCTGATTCTTGTCACCACAAGATACGTAGGCAGCCTTACGGTTCGGTCGCATCAAATAAAATATTTCATGATCCCCGAAGTCAAGAGTGGGGCAGTTTTTCCTAGAAATCCCATCAAAGCAAAAATCCAAAAAAAAATCCCCAAACTCCAAGAAACTGGGGCAGAAGTTTTAATTTTGCCAAAGGCCTGATTCCAAAAGTTGTAATTTTGAACCCTTTTCATCTTAAATTATTTTGAGCCTTCATACCACCCTTTCTTTCCAATCCTATCCAAAAGCCTACATTACGGTCCAAAGAAAGACCTTCTGACCAATCTTTGAGAATGCCAAATGAAGTGTGCGGTGAAAGTATGATATTCCTGCATCACGGGTAATACCTTTGTTCTCAACACGATGAGAGAAAATGATAAAATGAGAGAGTCTTATCGGTGAAAACCCTCAGGGGCACCGTAAGGTGACAGTGAGTTGAGAAAAGAGCAAAATGAGAGAGGCTTGATGGTGAAAACCCTTTAGGGCACTACAAGTCGACTGAGGATTGTGGATCAAATAGGACAACTGGAGCGTCGAAGCCCAGTTTCACAACTTAGAGGTACAACAAGTGTTGAATATTAGACTTCCTTGAGAGATTAGGCCACTTAATCTAAAGGTGCATGTCATAGTCATTAGGGTTGGTATCCACATCTGATAAGTTTCTACTTCGTAGTTTTCTTGTTAGGTATCATCTCTTTCCCTTGTCCTTTATTTTGTTCCGCTCGTTTTGTTTGAGTCTCTTCTTGAGTCTGTTTTGTCAGAACAAGTGAGAAATGACTTCAAAATTTGCTACCAGCTTTCCAATTCACAAAACGAATTTGACTAGCACATCAAAGTGGCATGAGTCGGGGAAAAGTGGTATGCATATTGAGTTGGTAACAATCAACATGCTTTGGGATTCATGTGAGAAATGCAAGAGTTCGGTAAATGTCAATCTATGAGCAAAATGCAACAGATAGAGGATATTGGGAACGAATGGAGCAGAGGAGTTTTCTGTGATAAGGGTTGAAAGAAAATGGGCAGTAGATAACAGTCGAGGTCGTCTAGGTTGAAATCAAAGTTATCTTGGCAGTGGCAGAAGCAGACACTCAGCAATGATGCCACAAACTAACCACTATGTTTTCAAACTAACAAAATTTTATTCGTCTAAAACAGGGCAAGAAAATTTGTTAATCCACAGAGACCCTCCCATGAAGAAGGCATGGCTCAGGGGCAAGAAATTTTGTTCAGAATCCTCCAAGAAGAGAGCATGGCTCAGGCACCCACCTGGATAACGAGGAAATACAGTTCAAGTTTTGGAAATCAGGCGCCCACCTGGATCACAAGGGAATACAATTCAAGTTTTTGGTAATCAGGCACCCACCTGGATAACGAGGGAATACAATTCAAGTTTTTGGTAATCAGGCACCCACCTGGATAACGAGGGAATACAATCAAGTTTTTGGCAATCAAGCACCCACCTGGAAAACGAGGGAATACAATTCAAGTTTTTGGTAATCAGGCACCCACCTGGATAACGAGGGAATACAATTCAAGTTTTTGGTAATCAGGCACCCACCTAGATAACGAGGGAATATAATTCAAGTTTTTGGCAATCAGGCACCCATCTGGATAACAAGGGAATACAATTCAAGTTTTGGTCGGAGGTGCCTACCTGGATAACGAGGGAATATAATTCAAGTTTTGGTAAGCCTGGATAACGAGGGAATACAATTCATGTTTTTGGCAATCAAGCACCCACCTGGATAATGAGGGAATACAATTTAAGTTTTTGGTAATTAGGCACTCACCTGGATAACGAGGGAATACAATTCAAGTTTTTGGTAATCAGGCACCCACCTAGATAACGAGGGAATAGAATTCAAGTTTTTTTGCAATCAGGCACCCACCTGGATAACGAGGGAGTACAATTCAAGTTTTTAGCAATCAGGCGCCCACTTGGATAACGAGGGAATACAATTCAAGTTTTTGGTAATCAGGCACCCACCTAGATAACGAGGGAATACAATTCAAGTGTTGGCAATCAGGCGCCCACCTGGATAACTAGGGAATACAATTCAACTTTTTGGTAATCAGGCGCCCACCTAGATAACGAGGGAATACAATTCAAGTGTTGGCAATCAGGCGCCCACCTGGATAACTAGGGAATACAATTCAACTTTTTGGTAATCAGGCGCCCACCTAGATAACGAGGGAATACAATTCAAGTGTTGGCAATCAGGCGCCCACCTGGATAACAAGGGAATACAATTCAAGTTTTTGGTAATCAGGCACCCACCTGGATAACGAGGAAGTACAATTCAAGTTGATGGTAATCAGGCGCCCACCTGGATAACTAGGGAATACAATTCAACTTTTTGGTAATCAGGCGGCCACCTGGATAACGAGGGAATACAATTCAAGTTTTTGGTAATCCGGCGCCCACCTGGAGAACGAGGGAATACAATTCAAGTTTTTGGTAATCCGGCGCCCACCTGGAGAACGAGGGAATACAATTCAAGTTTTTGATAATCAGGCACCCACCTGGATAACAAGAGGAATATAATTCGAGTTTCAAGTTAGTAGCAGGCACCCACGTGGAGAATGAGGGAAGATATTTCAGAGCTCATTTCAGAGTCATTTCAAGTTTCAAGTCAGTAGCAGGCACCCACCTGGAGAACGAGGGAAGTTATTTCGAAATTCAATTCAAGTTATAAGTAGCAGAAGCTCGCGGCAAGAATGCGAGTCAAGACGTGGTTGAAGTCACGAGCGCTACATGTCCGGTCTTGATCCAAAAAAGCTGAAGAACAATGAACTAGCACCTGCAACTAACGAGCGTCAAGGTTCAAATCTAAAGTCTGGATGAAGAACCATTCAATGCTCAAGATCAAGCTTCAGAAGACTTATATATAGGACTTTTGTAACTCATAGCTGACAGGCTTAGTTAGTCTTTTTCATGTATTGATTTCTGATGTAATAACAGGACCGCGGACCGGAGCCTCGGCGGAACGGCACCTCGACTGGCTCTCTACCTCGGCATACACCATCATCTCACTCACTTCTGAACTACACGTGGCCTGATTCTTTTATAGCCAAGGATATGTAGGAAGCTCAGATACCAGAGCTCGGTCACATTCCCCTTTTCTCTTAGTTTTAGTCTCTCCAAATAAGGGTCGGGTCAAAAAAACTTGTCTAGTCGTTCTTTGTCCGAAAACTCTTCGCGTTTCCAGTCAAAGAGGGGCAGCTGTAGACATGTAATTTTTGACCCTCCTCAAGATTTTTCGTATTTTAGCATGTAAATATTTAATTTAGGCCTAATATAGCTATTTTAATTAATTTTGAATCTTCTACTTTATTTTATTACAAGAAAATGAGAATTACAAAAAAAAATAGTTTCATTAATGTGTCGTAGTCATTTTTAATCTTGAAAAAATACCAAAAAATAGTTTTGTTTTAACGGTCATTCTTATTTTAATAATTATTTTTACTTAAGTAGGGCTAATTAATATTTTTGAGCATAGCTAGTCATAAAGGCCCAAGTTTCTAGCCTATTCCTTAAGCCCAATACCCATTAAGCTCACCCTAAGGGACCTAATACGCAAAAGACCTGGGGACTAATTAGCAAACAATACAAGATATAACCTAGAAATCCCTACCCTTTATAAAAGGAGCCCTAGAAAACCTAGCAGCCAGAAGCCATCTTCTTCAACCTTCTTCACAAGACAAGAGAACGAGGCAAACCCTAGAGCCCTAGAACCCTAGAGCTAAAAAGGAGTTGCGCAGCAGCACTAAAAAGGGGGCAGATGCTTGAAGGAATAAAACGCAACAGTTGTTGCCCATCTTCTTCCTCAAAACAACTTCATCTTCTTCATTCAACAACCATGAAAACCAGCTGAAAATTCAGTCATTAAAACACCCCAAAATCAGCACCTAAAACTCGACAAAACACATCCATTTTTACCTCGAAACGCAGCAGAAATTCAAGCCGAAAAGAAGCAGTAAAACCAGTTTTTTAAACCTCCAAAATCCATCCAGGAACTCCAGCAAAGCTTCAGCTCGAAATCGGTCTCGAAGTAGCTCAAAAAATGAGTTGAAAATAGTCTAAAATCCAGCAACAACGAGCTGAAAAACAGCCCTGTTTCCACACCAAATTCCGGCCAAAAACCAGCATCCTTCTAGCCCCGAAAACCACCAGAAATCACTCTCAAAACTGTTCGAAACGCAGCTGAAACCTCTGTTCGAAATAGTTGTGTCGTTGCTAAAAAAGACCACCTGAAACACCACTCAAAAGTACCCTTTGAACACCAGGAAACAGCCGTGGAAATGGAGCGAAATCACCATCCCTTTTCTTTGATTGAGGTCGAGTCAATGAGGTTTCTGGTCGAGATCCTGGTCCCGATTTATGTGAGCTTCATTGTATGGTTTTGATCTTGAAGATCATGTGTATTAACTCCATAAATTAAACAAAGTTTGTTGTCAAAGTGATTTTAAATTGTGCAACACACACTTCTGTTACAGCAACGTTTCCAAGATCTTTGTAGTGCCGGAGGCATCCTGCGGTTTTTGAAGCGAACCAAATAGTAAGCAGTTCGAGGTCGTAGATAAAGGTTTTATTCGCTGGCTCATTTGTTTCACTCAAATTCCAGTCAGAATCCGGTGAAGTTTTCGGCGAGACATTCCAGTAGAGTTCTTGTCCGAGGTTTTGACATTTCAGATTCATCGAGGTCTATTTCTTCCTTCCTCACGTTGTTTGTGCTTAATCTCTTTATTAATTTGTTGCTTCTCTCTTTGTTTGGATGTTTGAGACTACGCTTCATTGCTTTGTTTTGATGATATTCTACTGTTTGTTTACTCCATTCGTTCTTGTCTGTTGGTTTACTCCCTGTTCGTATGGGTTTAATGATTAAAATGAGTTTTTTAATTGCCTATTACAATTATTCATTTAGATATAGATGTTTAAGGAGTTTTGATTAACATTTTGGTGGCTTCAAAGTTGAATAAATTTATTATATGAACTGGGTGATGACATAGATAGTAAAACAAGCATGTGGCCAGGGGATCGGATTGAAACTTAAAAGTTAATTGAAATATTTTTACTGCTCTTTTAA